ACAGAGATCTACTGGCAGTTTGCACGCACTTCCTGTACTTTCTTTTATAGCCGTTACTGAAAGTAAATATGTTCTTTATTTGTATAAGCTTCATTGCAGGACATTTCCAGAAGACCTTGAGTGAACACACACAGTGTTTGAGTCCATTCTAGTTGTGGCCTGATCTGTAAACACTTTCAGTTGCAGATAAGGCTGGAGTGACTTTCTTTCAGATTTTGGCAGGATTTTACTTAATAACAATTAATTTCACCTCCACTAAAGACATAGATTTTTTTTTTCAATTAAGTTATCAAATCCTTTTTTTCTACTACAGTTAATGAGAATTGATTTTAAACTCTCAAAATGCTTACGCATGCATCACTTTATTTCTGCTGATAATAGTAAAATCTGATTTTATTATCAGCAAACTCTGACATAAGCAGTTGTTAATATTTTGTACGCAGATTTTTAATGTGAGCAAACACTATGATTTACAATTAAATTATTACTGCCTATTTCTATGTGGGAAATCCCCTCACTGCGGTCATGCAGGGTGAAAATCTCATGAGTTTGGTCCTGGTTAGCTGTTTTTTGGGATGCAAAATTTATCTGCCTTTGGGCTGTGATGAAACAAGTAAATTCTTGAATGTTATTTATGCAGCCCTAGAATGATGAATATCAGACAGGAAAAGTGTTCTCTGATGATGTCTGCTCACTGATTCCAGCTAAAATCATGTGTAGAGACATCTACATGATTTCATAAAAGCAGTGCACAATTTGTGGCTTAAAATAAATTTTTGCAAATGAAAATCAGTACACTTGAAAGGTATTATGATTTGTAGTGATTTCAAGTATTTAGGGTTTGAAATAATCACCCATAAAACCTGCATTAACCGTGCTCCACAGGCAATGAACTGATGAAGATGGTGCCCCACTAGCCTCTTCTGTCGGTATTTGAGCAGCTTCTGAATTTCTCCTGCTGCCAGCAGAGATTATCATCCACAAAAATTGCAGCTGGCAATAAGGGATCGTTAATCAGGTTCCAAACCTGTCTGCTGAGAAGGTCCAGGACAGTGACTTGCTAAAACCGCCTGCACTGCTGCTAACAGCCCTACCAGAGGTAGCAACGCTAACTCCTTCCTGCTCGCAGCAGCCTGCCCGGTCAGTCCCTTCTTGCTTTCAACACCCTGTTGCAGATCGCTGCGAGGGCTCGCCGATTATGTCCATTCCGAGCAGGGCTGCGTGCGGCGGAGCGCCGGTGGGACTCTGCGTGAGTGATGCCACGCGTTATTTCTATGAGGTTCCTGGGGAGAAGGAGGCAAAGGTTCAAGAGGTATTGGGAATTTATTACTCTTTCTTTTACATTTGCTCTTGGTTACCCTTTGTGTTGCCCTCTAACACAGTAACAAGGCCAGAACAGTCCTCTACAAACCTGGAAAGGTACCAGCACTCTGGGGACTCTTCAGTTTGCTGTAAAATACACTTTATTAAGGGTGTCCCTTGCCAAGATCCACAGACCCCGTGTAGTTCACAGTGGTTTCCGAGGTTGTGCACAACTGTTATAAATCAGCAGCTTTGCTTTCCAGGCTTCTCAACACGGTTGGGTTTTGAACTAAACTACTCTCCGCAGGGACCTTTTTCATAAAAGGTGTCAGGTACTTACGGGATTCTTCAGGGCGTGCAGAGGCTGCTCTTGGTATGTAGTGAGGCCTGTTGACTCTGGCAGACGCCTCACAGGCCTTGAACTCACTGTGGCGTTTCTCAATCCTCTGCAGTCTGTCCTTTTAGATCCTGGTAGCTCTGCCCACCCCCTCCCAGCTGCTCTCGCAGCCACCATGGAGGGAAAGCCCATGCACAGCAGCACAGTGTGCTCTGGCCAGGGGACCTCTTGCAGTCTGCCACAGTAGACAATGCCAGAAATCCTGCAGTTTAGGGGTGTTTGCTTCTCCAAGAACGGAGTCGCAATGTGGGAAGCCTGATGCTGTTTGTGTGGTGAAGCCCCTCTGCATCTGCTGCAGAGCTCTCTTTTCTGGCTCTCGTACATCCCTGTGCCGCTCAGTCCCACCAAGCAGCTGCCGTGTATGGGTACCTGGGGGGTTCAGCATCGTTTGCCTTGATTATCACAACCTCTGCTCCATTGCCCATCTGCCTTTATCCTGGGGACTGCTGAACAGGCTTCTCTTTCCTCTCTTTAGGGCTCCTGTTTGGCATGTTAGCACATCTGTCCTTTCCTGTGAGCACTCCCTACTACAGGGAGCTCTTGTCCAGGACATTTCCTTGGGATCTCCCTGCTTCAGTGTGCTGCAGGAGCCCTCCTGCCGCCCAGTCCTCCCACCAGGACTACAGCACAAGGACTTTCAATGCTCTTCCCTGCATGGATTTAGGAGCAGCTCCACTCAAGTTCTTTGCTGAAAATAGCAAGGTGTTAAATGCAACTACTTTCAAATTACAAATCCAGATGAGAAATCATAATTTGCCTTGATGTTGAAGGTCCCAAAAGAAATAGTTTAGTGTTAGGTGTATTAACGACTGCACACTTGGTTTGTGGATGGAAAATGTGTGATTTCTGTTTATATTTATGAAAAACAGGTGAGTTGGCTCTATTGCCTTCTGGCTTCAAAGAAGTCACTTCCTTTCTTGGCCTGTGTCAGTGAAGTTCTGCAGAAACAGTGACAGATTCACGGCTGTAACTAGAGGGAACCTGGAGAGGCAGCAGAGGAAAGGAGCAGAATGCCCATGTCCAGGGGTGCTCAGCCAGGTGGGCTTTGCAGAGCCACCCTCTCCCGACGTGCCCTGCAAAGGGAAAATAAACAGATGGACGCCAACACAGCGTGACTGCAAGTGGGGGTTGCACAAACACAAGGATGTAAGCACACGGGGAACAACCAAAGGTCTCCCTGTCCAGCCTGCGTGGGATGTGTTCACCGGAGGGTGCAGCGGGTCCTAAAAGGCTCTGTCCCAACAGACAGGCTGGTGGAAAAATCTCTGCCGAATCACTCTCTGAAGCGGGCAGTTCTTTCGTAGGGTCGCAGCATAGATCTTGTGCACAAGGCAGGAGTCTGAAAGCTGAGCACAATGTGCCTTGGCCGAGGTGGGGGGGAACAGGGACGTGCTATTGCTGTTGTCATATTTTCTACGTCCCAATTCCTTCTCTAGATCTTTGACAGGTGTTTGCTGTTCTGTCACTTTAATCTGTCTCCTTTTGCAAACTCTTCCCCAAATTTAATAACTTACTTGGGAGAGAATTGTTTTGATCTTGACAGAACATGCTGAGTCAATCTATTTTAACTGGAGATTTGGTTTGCAAATACTATCTCCTTTCTGGTAAGGTTCAGGTGTCATCTCTGTGGACATTGGCAGGAATTCACTTGACCATGACAGCTTTTACAGAGTCTAGCAATTAAGTTGTCAAGATACATTTTCCTCTGCCAGGAATCATTAATTGATGATAGTCTTGGCTGGAATAAGCCCTGAGAGATGGATATCGTAATCAGGATGAACAGAGGTCCTTGTAGCTGAGGCCTGCATTGGTCCAAAGGTCTGGAGTCCTTGACACTTGGTGGAACTAAGATAAGGGAGAGTGCAGGAGACATCTGTGTCTGAATGTCGGGGGCAAGGAATGAAAACAAGATATAGGAATAGGGATCTTTCTAATGTCACTAGAGATTAGCATAGCTGGAAATGCTGGCATCTGGGGAGACTTTAGCTTTGCAGATGCACTCTGCGAACTACTAATATCAGCAGAGCTCCTGGATACGAAAGCAAATAGAATTTTCCATTAGGTAATCCCCAAAATCGTGTTACTGTGGATTTGCTTTTCAAGTGAGAAAGATGTTGGAGATGTCCATCACTTAAAAAATAAAACTGGGATGATTCAACACAAGCTCGTTCTGTTTAAATTATGTCAAAAATAGATCTGCAAGTTAAGGGTTTTGATGATCGAGTACAGAATTTCAAAGATTAAAAGTTAGAAATTTAAAGAATTTAGGATCCCAATTGAGACCAATCCAAAGAATTGCTAAAAATCTGCTTAAACAAAGGACAAAAGAAGTGTTCAGGACCAATCTAAGTTCTGTTAACCTTAATAGTGGGCAAACCTTTGGGAGATATCTGAAGAAAACTGAAGTTATAAAGTGTAAAGGGACAATGTACATAGTTAATTTTCAGGAAGGAAACTGTGCGTGGGCTAATATCAATCTTTGTGAAGTTGGCTGACTTCCTAGATAAAGGAAATACTGTACATCTAGTCTATGCAGACATCAAATGTATTTGGCCTGCTGCCCTGTGGAATGGTGTCACTTGGGCTTGGCAAGGTGGGTCAGGAACTGGTCAGGGGGGAGTTGGTAGCAGATGAGCAGAGGGTACCATGGGAGCTATCAGTAAACAGCCAAAAAGATGTATTTTAGGACCAAACTTAATATTTTTGCTCTCTGCTGTATTACAGAAAGATTTGGCACGTGGAACAGAGCACTGCTGAATGTTTTAGAAGAGCAGCATTTCTCCCGCAGAGCACAGGGTGACCTTCTGGACTGAAATTGCCTGGGCTCAAACTGGGATGAAATACAGCAGTGAAGAGTACAAAATCATGCTCTGAGGTTAAATAACGAGGGTTTTGGCTGGCAGCTCAGTTGAAAACTATAGAGGAGGAGAAAGATCTAATTGCATTTAACCAGTCGCAGGGTAGATGTGAGCCTGCAATGTGCTGCAGCCATGCAAGGGGCAATCCATGGCTGGGGCAGATCCATGTGGGAGGAGAGGGGTCTTGGCATGACCCATGCTCCCCTTGAGCCATGCAAAAGGCCCCTTCCTGGTATACATGCTTGTGTCAATCATTAGCTAGAAATCTAGTCCTGGGTAAACATAATTTTGGCTTTGAATGTCGATGACAGATTTGGTGCTTTACGTAATAAGGTGAGACCCCTTGATACCGTGGTGTGCTATATATTCCTGCTCTGACCTGCAGTCGTCCTCTCCCGCACAGAGAGCTAGCAGGCTGCATTGGAGCGGTACCTCTGTCTACCATGAAGATAGCAGGGGTTTTCGTGAAGGCAGCTCTAGCCCTTTGCTGCTGCTTAGGTGAGTATTTCCTGGGATATTGCAGAGATTGATCTAGCTGAATCAGAGCTGACTTTTCATTTCAGTAAAAGCATTTTGGGTCTTGTAATGTGGAGGAGAACCTTATTCCATGAAGAAATATTCTTCCTGAGAGACTATAGGATTAAATTAGACTTCGAGGCTGAGGTGTCAGCAAACGTCATACAGGCAACTGTTCTAATCTTGGTTTGCAGGAGCAAATTGCTGAAGGAGCAGTCGTAGTGCAGGGCAGGAGCTTGCACATGGGAGTCCTGTGTATAAAGGGCAAAGTAAACCTGTTAGAAATGACATCGTTTCCCATGTGAGCAATATAAATGCAAACTTTAACCTCTAGGATTGCTCTGTAAGTTTACTGTGCTCTTCCTGGTAACTGAGAGGGATGTGTTTGGAGATGGACAGTGCTGGTGGTCAACAGTCATCTTAAAAACCCGTGTCCAAACTTCTGAAAGTCAAATACAATGTCTGATAGAAGAGGTTAAAATCCAAGAGTACTGAATTGAAAGTACCAGTATTGCTTCTCTGTAACATCTTAGGGATGGATTAATATATGTTCTCCCCTGTTTTATTTCCCCTCAAAATTGCAAGGTAACTTCATTTAGTTACTTTTAATACATCCTATGGCCATTTACTGGGATAATGTAAAACTTCATATTTTCCTAAACCAAATAAAATAGTCAATAACAGTCACTGAATTTAACAGTTTCATGAAAAGTTTTACATATATCTCCTCTGCATATCAATAATTAGAATTTTTTTTTTCCTCTCTCCATTTTTTTCTTTCAGGTATTGCTTTTGGAGTTGAGGTGAGCTACAGATCCACTTACTCTGTTCTATTCCAGGTTTCTGGTAAATAGAAACAGCATATAATTACCTGATGAGCAAGTAAATTAAATCTAATGAAAGCTTGGCTGTCCAAATAATATTTGCCAATGCACGATTGAATGATATTGCCAACTTCACAAGAGAGTAAAAGATTCCCCATTTTTTTACAATATTTATAGTTCATTAAATAAAATGATGAAAGTGAGAAGTAATTATACAATCCTATTATCGTAACTCTTAGACATAATTTAGTTACTCCAAACCAAAGTCAGTAGGTTACCTCCTCATGAGGAATACTGTCTTAAGACGATACGCTTGAAAGCATCAAAGACACTGATTCTGTTAATTTTTTCCATGCTGTAAGACCTGCAGAACTGTGTTCCTTGCATCGGTTTTCTATATCTATATCATAGAGAGGAAAACAGCAGGGGCTGCGCAATGGATTTGTCTGCAGGTTCTTCCCACGCAGTTATAAGACTCCTGTAACTCACCAGAGACTGCAGCACGATTTGAAACCATCAGATTTTGAGCTGAGGGGCTGTGATGTACAACTGGGCTCCCAATTACCAGCTGCCTTTGTTAGGCACCATCTCACCCACAGCAATCCTTCCTCTGTGCCCTGCCTCCCCCAGACCCCAGCAGGAAAGCATAATCAGAAACTTGTGTAGAGAAGATTCCCTCCTCCTGGCTGCCTGAGCAGATTCAAAATAATACCTCTAAATTACCTCCTGGCAGGAGCTGTAGGCGCTGTGGTGGTGGGAGGCTGCCTGGGGGCTTCTTCCCATGGTGGGAGCCAACGGTGGGGATGACTCTGTGCTGCTTTTGCAGGTTGATTGCAGCCTGTATGCCAGCAGCGTCACCAAGGATGGGTCAGTTTTGGTAGCTTGCCCAAGGAACTTGCAGCCGGTCTGTGGCACCGATGGCACCACATACAGCAACGAGTGTGGGATCTGCCTCCACAACAGGTGAGTATTGCTGGAAACCTAGCAGAAGCCTCAGGGCAAGGGACTCAAGGCACGGGGGATGGCTCCATCTCCCAAAGGTGGATTGGGCAGAGGAGCATGTGAGTTAGAAGCTGGGTGCTGACACCACCAGCCTTGAGGTGATGCTGCTCTCTGTGATCCCTGACAGAGGTCTGCTTTCTTCCAGGGAATACAGGGCCAATGTGAAGAAGGCACATGATGGAGAATGTGAACCCAAAACTGTTACGGTAAGATGAAGCCCGTGGAAGACTTCAGCTGGCTGTTCAAATGCCTCACAAGAGAAAAACAAAATGTGCATGACCCAAAGGGAGCTAGAACCTCATGATAACCAAAGCTAAGAGGGTGTTTATGGGCTGTCTAGTCCCACATCTCTGTGGGTTTTTTTAAACTGGGACTTCCAGACTCTGCAACTGGGAATAAAGTGTTGTGTTTGCTGAACATTGGGTCCCACCGCTGGGATAGCTCCAGCAGGATCTTATGAAGGACCTCACAAAATCCAAATCACAGCCTTCCTTGTTATGCTGGGTTTTTTTCAGCAGGTGAAAATTCCCACAGAAAATTCCCACAACTTTTGACAGTGGAATTAGTTTGATGCTGGATTTGTTCCCAAAGGCTGAGGGGAGAGTAAGCAGACTATGTACAAGTGTTATATCTTTGTATCTAAAATGTGGTTTGTTTTTTTTTTTCTCCTCTATTCTTGCTATTTTTACAGATCGATTGCAGCAGGTACCAAAGAACTCTAGCAGATGGTCACGTCATGGTAGCATGCCCAAGGATACTGAAACCAGTCTGTGGCTCAGATAGCTTCACTTATGACAACGAATGTGGGATCTGTGCCTATAACGCGTAAGTCTTGTACACAGAACGTCCTTCTGGATAATTTGTGATAGTTAAGGCTCTCAGAAGCACTTCTGTAAGACACTAGTCTTTGTTAAGGCAGGTGTCTCTGTTAGTCTCTTTGGAGGTGGGCTCTTGTAATTCTTCAGCCAGCCTGAGTTTTCTTTCCCCATTTTCTATCTGTGCTTGGGAGGGGAATCACAAAAAAAACCCAGAGGACAACCCAGAACAGAGCCACAAACAGATTAAAGCGTTACTTGTGACGCATGATTACTCCTAACATTTAATTACACTGCGATATGGAAAATACTGTGTGTTTGCTGCTGCTGCCGCCAACCACAGGGCACATTCATACAAGTGAAGCAGTTGTAGCGTCCCACAGGGCGGGTGGGACCTTGTTTTCTTGTGCCAATGCCTAGGGTGTAATGGGAAAAACTGTTCTCAAGGCTTCCTAACCAAAGTATTTCTTTCTTTCAGAGAACATCACAGCAACATTAGCAAAAAATATGATGGAGAATGCAAGCAGGTCATTGACGCTGTAAGTGCAATAGAAGTAAAAAACTCATCTCTTAGGGCTGTTAAGAGAATCCTTAGAAACCCACAGATTTCCCTAGGAATTGTAGGAGGACCATATGCCAAGGCTGGCGGGGGTCCCAGTCCATGCTTTGCTTTTCTGCACAGTGAGGGTGGGTTTTGCATCCTCCCTGCTCTGAGGAGCAGGACACCCCATGCATACCACACCAAACCCAAAGGAGCAAGGAGATGGATATGCAGTGAGAAGCTGCAGAACTCTCTTCCCTATGTACTAAGCTGACTTTTGTGCCCAGGGGAAGGAGAGGCCTGAGATTTCACTTGCCAACATGCTGAGCAAGTTGGCAGTTTTCTCTCTGGAGATCACAAGCGTTTCCACCCTCTGCAACAGGGATTCAAAACTCCCGTGCTGGTTGCTTTCACAGACATAGAGAGATTCGTAAGACCACTAAGCTTACATATTTATAGAGTGCAGTTTATTATATATTTGTACAAGGCCAGCAGTCTGGTGCCTCAGGAAGAGAAGCTTCTATATTTCAGCACCAAAATTCTGGGATGTAGAAAGTCCATTCTCCAGCTGATAGAGAACCATTTTTTCTTTATCCCTTCAAACCCTGTGTTTAACTACAGAGAATCTGAAGTTAAGAAGAACTGGGGATGAAACCAACACAAACCAAAACAGTATTAGTCAGATTTCCAGCTGGTGAAAAGTGTTTCCCACTAGATTCAAGAAAATTCAATACTATTTTTTAATGAGAATGGACCCAGAATTTGTACATATTCCTCTGCCTGAAAGACCCCTTTCTCAAGATTGTCCCTCTCCTCGATTCCTAGAGTACTGGTGTAATATTCAGAAAGTTCATTTCTGATGGAAGATTTAGCTTCAGTCTATCAGGGCTTTGCCCTGTTGCAGAAACAATGGAGGCTGGGATATAGAATGAAAAGCTTTTTTCACCAACTTTTTTTTTGCATAGCAAGGGCTCCACCAGAGCTAATTCTCCTTATTTTGACAGATTGACTGTGATAATTACCCAGCATCAGCCACTAAAGATGGCAGACTACTAGTAGCCTGTCCAAGGATCCTGAATCCAGTTTGCGGCACAGATGGCATTACATATGATAATGAATGTGGAATCTGTGCCCACAACGTGTAAGTGCCATACATAGAGCACTCGTCGTGAGTAGCCAGCATTGCTTTGCAGTCCTGAGAACCATCCTTCTGCACTTCTGTTTATGCCTATTTCTTCAAGTCTCTTAGAATCTGGATTGGTTTTGGATTTACCTCAAGTTTCCTTCTGGTACCTTCTTTGTGCTCATGAGGGGAAACCTTGGAGTCAGATGGCAGCTCCTTGGATTAGTCTGTGAGCTGGGCAGTAACTGAGAAGTGGAAGGAATAATTCAGAATATTACTTTAAATTGCATATTATGAGACGATGTGATGAGCTTATTAATGAGTAAAGTAATGTAGCTGATCTGATGCACTCTTACAGAGTCTGAAGCTGTGGTTTGCTTCATTTTGCACGTGACTGCATGCAAGAGGTTAGGCATTTAGTTCCTCAACTTTATTGTTTCCCTCTTCCAGAGAACACAGGGCCCATGTTAGCAAAAAGCATGAAGGAAAATGCAGAGAGGAGACTCCTGAGGTAAGTATTCAATATAAGGCATATTTCTCCTCTTAGCTGTATTAACTGAAAGGTTCCCTGAGGCTACATCTGCTCTGAAAGTGAGCTGGCCTGAAGCCTGGCTTTCTCCACATGTCTATTAACTCTTGTCATCCCCTTGTGTTGAGGATGCCCACAAATCCCATCTGCCCTGAAGCAGGTGTCCCCTGGGCCCTCCTTGCCTGCACAGCCCTGGCAGATGGGCTGTGTAGAGTTAGGCACAGAGTTTTATATATCCCCACCTTTAGGGTGGGGATATATTCTGGTATATGGAGCACATGTGAAGTTTTGATCTGAGTGTATCATCCAAGAACTCCCAGACTTGGTGTATACGATGTCCCAACACGTAAATGTAAAAGTCAGTCAGTTTGTGTTTAGATCTTCCTTTGTGGATGCTCTTCAAATGTATTGTCAGCAAAGTCCAAATTCCTTCACTATTTTGGTGTTTTGTTTATTTGTGCAGTTCCGTCTGTGCATGAGAGGACTCATGCAGGGCTGACTCAGCCTGGTTTTGAGAGAACTGAGACATAGCACTAGTGTTGTCTCAGCATCCCAGTAAAAAAGACGTGGCGGAAGGGTTATATTGGGTTTTTTCTCAGAGAACAAGGACCTCCCGAGGTTTGACACTCCTGCTTTTTGTAGATCGATTGCAGTCAATACTCATCAAGAATTATTAAGGATGGCAAAGCCCAGATGCGCTGTCCAAGGATCCTGCTCCCAGTCTGCGGCACAGACGGATTCACTTATGACAATGAATGTGGCATCTGTGCCCATAACCTGTAAGTACTGTAGGTGGGACACTCTTTTGGAATGGCTAGCCATGGTCAGAGCTCCAGACAGCTTTTCTTTTGATACCAATGTATCTACATCTCTCTGTTTCTCTTTCAACCTCCTGAAGCCCCTGTCACCTTGATTTTGTTCCCTGATGCTCTGTTTGCGCTTCTCGGGTGAGCTGTGGGAGAGACAGCTCCTAATCGGAGCACATGATGAGGGCTGGGGTATTTGGGCAGAGGAAAGAAAAAGCATAGCATGCAGTAAGGAGACCTGATAGGTCTGTGGCAGTTTAGGATTACGCTTGCTAATGAACGGGAGAAGCCGATTCATTAGGCAATCAGATGCCTCCTTTATCGTATGTGTTGGCTATGAGTGTGGTTTGCTCTCTGTATCACCTGGGTGTCACAGGGCTCAGCCAGCGAGCACACTAACGCCAGCCTCTGCCTTTCAGAGAACATGGGACCCACGTTAAGAAAAGCCACGAGGGAAGATGCCAAGAGGAAAGTGCTCCTGTAAGTGTTAACTAGCTGTAAAATAAGCTCCATGTCCTACTCGCTCTCCAGTCTCCAGGAAGACCCTGGCTGGGCTCGGTGCACTGAGGGGCGATGCACTGGGCTGGTGCTGCAGTTCTCCCTGGCTGCTCACCACGGCTGCTGGCAATGAGGGCAAGAGAGAATGGGAATAGGCTGGGACTTCAGAAACAAAATGTCCCAGTGCTGCAGATCTCTGAACAGAAATCATCAGAGACAGCCCAAGAAGCATGAGCCTGTTTTAGCACAGTAGGAGAGGAAGACAGCAGGCTGCGTTAGATGTCTCTGTGTGCATTCAGCGCTAGGATTTCCATTGCACTAGACAGGCAGGTTAAAAAAATCCTCGTGCCCTGGTCAGCCAGGAAGAATCTGCTCTCAGGTATGCATACAGAAATAGCTTTATTATCCTGCACAGTAACAATATGTGCTGATAATATCTCAACACATTTATTCTGCTTATGCAGAGCAGCTCTAAAGCACCAAAAATAATCTCATGCATCCTGAGGGACTGCAATATATTTTCTATAGTAGAGACACATTGTTAAAATGCTGTCTTTGCTTTAATTAGCTCTTGGACCATGTGGGAAATAAGAGATGCTGCACTGGGGAAACTATACAAAATGATAGCAAAGTGCCAGCAGTGCTTAGCTAGTGTAGACTGACTTCCAATAGGTGTTTGTCTATTTATCCTCAAATATTTAAACTGTTTGATTTTTATATACTGTAAATATTTTTGCAAGAGGAGCTGGTGAAACAGTTCTTGCTGCTGTTTTGAAAAAGCTGAAACAAAATCTTGGATTTAGTTAACTATGTCAAACTGTACTTAATGTCAAATACTTTAAATCGGATTCCTGGGGTTAAATGCTTATTTAAAAACACGTATACATACCACTCTCGGAAAATAATCTTTTTGGTCAGCTGTTCCTTTCTTCAATCTATTGACAGACAATACCAAACCCAGCTACAATTACTTTATTAATTTCTATTGGAAGACTAAACTTAAATCCCCTGATTTTCCTCTGGAAGAAGCCTTTAAAATCTGGAGGATCGGAGTGGACAGACTGCGGATGAGGCACACTTCCATCTCCCAGCAGCTGACCCAGGACTGTTATTTTATCTCCCCAGGTTGACTGCAGCAGATACCTGAGCAACACCAAAACCGGTGAAACCATTGCAGCCTGCCCCTTCATCCTGCGCGAGATCTGCGGGACAGACAACGTCACCTACAGCAACGACTGTGTGCTGTGCGCCCATAACATGTAAGCCCTGGGGGTCACCCCCTGAGAGCTCAGCTGAAGAACTCGTTGAGCACTTTTACCTCTGCTTTCTCTTCCAGTGAATCTGGAACCAGCGTTGCCAAGAAGCATGATGGAAGGTGCATAGAAGAAGTTGCCGAAGTAAGTGAAACATAAAGAAAAGGAAGAGCTTGAGCTGGTGCTGCGTAACTTGACTAAACGCTGGTTGATTTTGGTGGTGTAACCTCTGCTAGCGGTCACAGCTCGTGCTCTCCTTCCTTCTGTGGGCAAGTATCACCCTCCCAGCAGCAGGAACATTGTGCACTTCCTGCACGCAGTCAGGAAAAGAAAGAGAAGACAGGTGGGGAATGAGTTACGAGGCAGGTAGCATAAATAATTTAAGGCTTTACAAGAAGAAATCCCTTTCCCACGGCAGTCTATCATAGCTGACGCAGGAACTTAGCAGTCTGTTTTGGCAATATGGGAAAGGGATGCGGATGACCCAGGATGTCTGGTGCCACCTGGATGCTTGCATTTTACAAAAGGATGTTCTGCAAAGATTAGAAAATTGCCTGTGTTTTGAATGCTGATACCTAATGTGTCAGGGGATTCAATCCCATCTCTGTTGTGTTGTGAGCTTTTTTTTTGTGTGGTGGTTTTTGGTTTTTTTTTGGTAAATGCAGTGTAATCTAATGTATACCAACAATGAATCTTGTAAAAATACCAGATTAACTATATTTGGCCAAGTCTAAACTATTTACACTCACTGGGAAATAGAAGAACAAAGCCATCTCATTAGCATGTGTTTGAAAGAGTCAACATCCCGAGTCAGATATTTCATTTCTATACAAACAAACTATGAAATGTCATTCTTTTGTTTCCCAAGTACGCTCTGTGCTCAGACCAGGTAAGATACATAAATCAGGGAGGAAGAGCTCACGCTGGAGAAACTGGGAGTGCTAAAATGTAAGGCCAGTTCTTCAACTGGTGTTAATCAGTGTCAACTGCTGGCAGTCCTGCTGGCAGATTTCCACACTCGAAGCTATCCCATTGCAACAAAAGGCCCGTCAGCACATCTCCCCTCCATTCTTGTGGGCTGCAAATAACTCCTTGGTCAGTCAGCTCTCTCACAGAAGCATATAAATCATGCCATTTTGATTTGGAAATTATTTTTGAGCTGCGTTTTGTAATATCCCGATAGATTCAGCAAAGCATTGGGGCATCATGATAAATACGAAGCTGAATGAGTGATGTCTACCTTCAAGCCTTGATTCAGTCTTCTCCAGCATAAAGCTAGGAAAGGAAATTCCTAGTTTTCCATGAAGAATAAGTTAATATAGAACCATAATTCCTATGGCAGATCCTAAAAAGCAGAGGCATAAGCAGGGAGGGTTGTGTCTGGGCATCCCTGCACAGAGCAGAGCCTGTGCCGGAGCTTTTGCCATCCCTGTTCCCCAGCTTGACTGCAGCCGGTACGCAAGTTCCACGCTGAAGGACGGCACGCAGCACATGATTTGCACGATGATCTACGATCCCGTGTGTGGTACTGACGGTGTCACTTACGCCAGCGAGTGTACGCTGTGTGCCCACAACCTGTAAGTACTTGACCTTCTCCCTGGGGGTTTCGCAGTGGTGGTGGTTGGATCCGTCTTTGAGCGCCACATAATATGCACGAGCTCTCTCTGAAACCCTGCATTGGATAGGTCTTGTTTGTCTGCCTCTGTTTTCCTGGTTGGTGTTTGACATGGGTGTTCCACCCCAGCGTCCCACAAAGGCGGATGCATCAACCAGGGAGAGTGTTATTCCAAAAGACATGTGCCTGGTCCCTATGGGCACGTTCTCGCTAGTGCTATGCACGCAAAGCTAAACTAATTCACGTGAAAATCTCCTGTGCACTACGAAGAGAGTGGGGATACGTTCGTGCACTGCGGTTGTAATGGGGATAGTTGCAGATAATGATGGTCATCTTTCTCCAGGGAGCATCACACCAATTTTGGCAAAAGAAAGAACGGACGCTGTGAAGAGGAAATTACAAAAGTGAGTGGGAAAGTTTTGGAACAAAGAGTGGGAGATTATGCTCTGCTCTGGGTTACAAACCAGGGGAGTGGTGGTGTGTAGACCTGAGGAGATCCCTTGGGAATTTCACACTGGTCATACAACGACCAACATCAGTCCCATTGCTCTGTAACTGAGTAGGAAAAGATGTGGCAGTGAGAAGAAATAGTACAAGTTCACATCTGCCACCAGGAGGAAACTTTGAGTTGGTTAAGATGATGTTACAGCCAGTTTCATTTCTCAGTGGGGTGTCATTCCTTATGCCGGGGGGAACCATGGTTTGCTCTCAGGCAGAGACTCGTCTGTCTTCTGTGGGCAGGAGTATTGCAAGAACATCCAAGAAATCTCTATCTGCATCATGAATTATTTGCCTCACTGCAGCTCTGATGGCAAAACATACGACAACAAACGTGTCTTCTGCAATGCCTACCTGTACATACAAGAGCAAAACCCTTCCTTTCGTGATCAATTCCTGTATCCGCTATAAATGTGCAAGGCTGTCTTCATAATGCATTTTTGACTAGCTGCTTATAGGCACATACTGGACATTTCTGGTGCACTATAACTTGTGCAAGGAGATGGGTTTTTTACCATTTTAAGGGAAAATGTGAAGGGCCCCTTTCTGTGTCGTCCTGCTTGTTGTCTTCAAAGATATTTTATTAATTTTCATCAGCATATAATCTGAATCTGTTCCACAAGCTCATTTTTTCATGTGGAAAGTACTTCACCAAACCAGCTGGATTGTATCAAATGGGTGAAACCTTTCATCTTTCCTGTAATGACAGTAATGAAAGGGCGTATTTGGGCTTTTCAGTTTGTTCTTTATCTCCAGTCAATGCTAAGCCAACGCTTGGGCCAGTGAGGTGAGCAACGGCGCTTCAGCACTGAATATGCTCTGTGTCTAATCCTTCTCTCTCCTTTTCTCACCAGATAAAGCATTAGGACTCTCAACCTCATGAGTATGACTGCATGTTAAATCTGTGCTGGAGTCCAGCCCAGGAAGACATGTTCCCTTTCACGTGACGTCCCATGGGCTGATCTTCCCCAGCAACTTTTCTTCAGTTTGTCTCATCTCCTTAGCTCCTGAAAAACTTGTTCAATAAACTTACTTGGCAACATTTCTCTGTCTTAATGTCATGTCCTATCCCTTTTGCCCATTCTCCTCCCTGACATGGTACCTCTAGTGGTGCATATGTGTTTTTCTATTGATGCTTTGCCCTACCAAAATATGAGTAAATATTTTCCTGCCACTTGTCAGTGCTGTCCCTGCTCTGATGAGTGTCTGCCCTCCCCTTGGAGTTCCCAGGCACTTCCTTATTCCTCAGAGTCTCCCTGTCAGTACTAGTCTCCTCTAACCATTAATATCTCTGTATGACTTGACTACAGACTTCATCTTTACAGTCAGTGCAAGGAGACATTCACCTCGAGGGCATGGCCCACCTTCTCTACAGGGCAATGTCTAAGATGTGGGTGATGGTATGCTGTCAAGGAGAGCACTTCCTTGTCCTGTAGGGGACAGCCATCAGCGCAGTCAGCTGCTTTTGAAAACCATTCGGGAAGGAAAAGGATGCAGAGGTTCACTTGTGGCCACTTTTAACCAAACATATAGCAAGTCATAGGAAAGCAGTTCTGCTTTTTTGGTACATTTTTGAAACCAAAGTGCTCAGAACCTGGTGATAAAGTTGCTGTCACTTTGGTGTCTGTATATATGGCAGGGAGGCGAGGGGACCTGGGGGCTGCCATTCATCTGTTGGCAACATAGGTACAGCCGCTAACACTAGCCCCACTTCAGGTCACCAAAGCTACTGCAAGTCCAATATTTCAGGGTTAAAGGATTTCTTCTGGCTACAGCTAGTAGGTCCCTCATTCAACATCCCATTGTAGTTTACCAGAGAATAACACAATTACTTGAATTGGTTTGGACAGTCACTCTTTAAATTGTCAGGCTAGATGAATAGGCTGAAGGCAAATGTTCCTGACTTGGAGATACTGTGAGTATTGTACCAGGGAATGAGGCCGTAGTACCTCCGTGCTATTAGAGTCCGTGGCTGGCATGTACTTTTCAAGACGATTTCTAACTAACAATGGCTTATTGTACTTTACTTGGGTCTGTGTCCTAATGTAAACACTCCTTTGGTTTATATAACCTTTTTGCCATTTTCTGTTAAGGTGTTTTTGCAGAACATGCTGCTTTACTCTAGTTTAAGTGTTACTTGGTTATCCTCAAGGATAAGACCTGATTTTTTTTTTTTTTTTTTTTTTTGTGGACTTTGGCAGACTTTCACTTGGCCTTAGGTCTGACCCCTGGCTTTTGCAAGCCTTTGCAGTAAAGCTGTCAAGAGTCAACAGAATGGCATTAGCTGGGCACATCTGTGCCAAAGCCTTCTCTGCTGAGCTCATTGTCTGATGACACCAAAGGCAAATAAGAACTCAAGGAGGAACGAAGTTGAGATTAAGTCAGAGCAATCCAGGGAAGAAGCCAAAGTGATCATTAGACACATGTCTCTGTGCCACATTTACCAGTAGGTTTCATGTAATAGTACATAATGGAATAAATTACTAGAACTGGGCCAGAAAATGAGGAAAGCCTGACATTGGAGTTTAAATATCCCCCGGGCTCAGGGGGTGTTTTATGAAGCAATATAACTCTGTAAAAGTAGGGCAGCTTTCTTCTCAGGGACAGAGCTGTTTTCTGTGCCTTGGAGTTGTTTTTCAGCTTTTCCAGAGATATTTACTAAGCATGTGTTAATTAGATGGTTTCTTTCGGCTTCTTATTGAAGAGGAAGGAACGGTCAAGCAGAGATGAGTACATTCAGGAGGAAGCATTGAATTTTTGTGGCTTAGGAGAGAGGTAGAACAATACCAAGTATAAAGTGTCACTAAGAGACTTGAAAGGTAATTTTAAGGTATGGTTGCCTAGCTGGATGTCTGCTTGGCCATAGGGAGAGGAATGGCTGGATAGAGATTCCTGTGCTGGGGAGCACCAAGAGACCATGTCAGGAGCTCAGTGCTTGCCAAACTGTAAATATATTCAGTAGCTGTCTCCAGCATGAGGGTGACAGTCGTGTTGGTGCTGCCCAGCCTACTGCTCCATTGCTTCTCAGGTGCATAATGCTGCAGAGCCCCAAGGGTGACTTTCTTACCCATTTTGGGCAAAGTCTGAGCAACTTCAAAGTGGTCAGGTCACACTCTCAGACCATTCGATTGTCATGCTACAAAAGCTTGTTTAGAAACTGGAAAGCAGCACTAAAAGGATCAGATGCAAGGCTGGATTTAGTCCTGTTTCAGTGCACTGTCACATTTGCACTCTTGCCATGAACAGAAACGGTTGCAGGTGCAGCCTTATACTCTCAGTCAAGGATGCAGTGAAGAAAAAACTGACTTTCCAGTGCGTGCTATGACTGCAACATCAGGTATCTAAAATCTACTGCTGAAACGCAGCTGGTCCGGCTCCTTTACGCCACCTTGCAGCCACTACTGCAGCCCTCTGGCTCTGGAGAGCAGGGACCGAGCTCCTGAGCAGCGCCAAGGACTGATGAGCTTCTACGGATTTCACACTGATAATGGTCCAGTCTCAGGATTTGTGACTTCTAAGTGCACTGGTACGTATGGCAGAAGCGATACTTTAAATATATAAATGTTCTCTCTCCTTCCTTGTTTGTCTATCTTATATTTATAGCCTTATCAATGTTTTCTGAGTCTACAATCATTTTTCTTACAACACAAAGAGGAGGAAGAATGAAGTGAATCATTTAACTCTTGATAAGTGGGATTTAGAAAACAATACTTAGTTGTTTCATATGGATCCAAAAGATTATTTTTTTTCACTATCAGCATGGTATACATCAACACTCACCCACCTGTGACTTGAAGAAAAACTCCCAACTTTTCCTTGACAGCATCTGTACCTAACTTCATTCAAATAGTTTATCAAAAAAATCTTTACCTTTCAAAATTATGACGGCTGATAATTTGCCTTGGTTTAGCTTTTTTTTCATATGCTGCATTTTCTAGAGAGGCGTGTGGATGGGCCAAGATACTCTGTCACTCTCCTGAGGGGTGCGTGAGAACAACAAGGCTCATCCCACTGATTTTCTTTTTTTAAAACTGTTATCTTTTCAGAAGAATATTTAAATTATTTTTTTACCACTTTATGTGTTCCTCAAAAAAAGAAATCTGGAAGCTCATTGCATCCGTTGCATAGGTCTGTTTAATGGACTGTTAACAAAGGAAACATTCTGGGAACTGGAAAAATTTCCTTAGACTTCTAAATTTAAAGGAATATAATCCTGATATCCACCCATTTTATCCATCAGCATGTTCACACTCAGAAATGTTCCTTCTATTGTTGTAATTTAATGTTTGATACCATTTTATTTGGTTCTTTGCCATGCTCTGGGCTCCAGTTGTGTGTGTTCTGCTGATGAATGAGTAGATATGAAAAAAGCAGAAAGCAGTAGTGGAAGAGAGCCTGTCTCCAGCTGGCAGACATCCACTCAGCCTAGGAGCGTTTTCCAGATTTTCACCAGCTGAGGTGCAGCCCCGTAAGTTTAAACATACTGTGAATTTGCAAACAAAGAGCGTTCACATAGTGTATCGTTTCCTGCCTATTTTTCATTCACAGAAGCAAAACCTTAATTTCATTCAAGCCCCCTGAAGGATTAGGAATGTTGGGAAATTTATTGCTCTAACCTCTTTTCTCTCTGTTGCCTTCAAGGCTCAGCTGTAGCACATACCCCAGGGGCATTGCTGAGGACGACTAGTCAGGATCCCCTGGCCAAGCACCGAATGAGCTCTGTGCACAGATGGTTTCACTTACACCAATGGGCGTAGGATCCCTGCCTATAATGTGTCAGTCTGATGGAAAGAACATGCTTTCCGAGTGACAGTCCCCTAGCCCCTGGCCTCTCCCTGTGCTTTTCCAATTTATCCTCTTTTTTCCCTCTCCACTTGTTTTTTGTGCTTGGGGGGAGATCATGAAGATTTAGTGGAGAAAAGGAAATAGCTGAAGAAAACAGCTGGAGTGGAAACCCAGATGATGCAGCATATTCAGATGGCATAGGTTTGTTGACTTGATAGGATTATAGTGGTTAGAGACACTAAAACCACTTCATTGTCTGTGGTTAACTCAGATGAACTCTCCTCCGCTTGCATCATTTGGGAGTTTCATTTACATTCCCAGCATCTATTCCCCTTTAGGAAAATGGTCACACTGAGTCTCTAATGGCAGACTTTCCCTTTTCCAGGGAATGTGGGACACCCAGGGACTCAGGAACAGCAGTCATTCCAGTGACTAAGAAGCAGGGCAAACCAAGAAGCAGCCTGAACTCCCATTGCTGTCCGTGGCAGCATCCCAAATAATGTCAGCTGAATGCTGAGCAGGCAGCGTACGATTGGACGTAAGTGACGCATATACCTTCTGTTGACATTTTATTTGGCAGGGATTTAACACTAGCTTCCTAATATTGCTATTCTCCACAGGCGGCGTTCAAATGTATGAAGAGAAGGGTAGCAAAAAGATGCAAAATATGAGACAGGTAGGAGAAATATTTCTTTGCTATGCAAGCATGCACAAACAACCTTCTCTGACAGCATGAGGAAAGTACAGTATAACCTGTTTCAAGACCAGAAAAGGAGACCAACAAAATCTTTGCAGATATCAGTGCATTCAGCTCTCCTGAGAATGAGAATGGGGCACAGTGCCCAAGCCAGGGCACACAGGGGTCACGTGATAGTGTACAACATAGCAGTTGTTATGCACGTACTAACATATTAAGTAAATAACTGCATTACTTTGCTAGTGCAATAGTTCAGAGGTGGCAGAAGTCCTGCTATCTACCCCAATGTCTGTGAAATAGTAAAATGCCATAATCCAGCAACATGCTCCTTTCTGTTAGCACCAACGGTGCTTCACCCATGTCTGCCTGCATAGAA